TTCCCTGATGCTGCTCAGGTTTGCTTCAGTGTTTCCAAAATAAAGATCACAGGAAACAAATTTAAAAGTTCAAAAAGACAAGAACAACAAGTGACAAAACTGTTTTTATAGCCTAGTTTTTTGTCTGCCTCTCTGAGATCCTTGCCCTGGCAGGGGATATAAAATTCTTCTTGTATGGGATCTGAATGCTGAGCTCAGCTTTGCAACACATTGTAGCTGGGATTTTTTTCTCTATTTCCATGGTCAGACGGGCTGGTGGGAGGAGCTGTTTGTGACCTTAACCAAGGAAGATGGAGAGAGAGAGGAGGGTGCACGGTGCTGAGGGTGTGGGGAGGGCTTGAAGGGTGGGAGGCACCGAGGGGATGCTGCTGGGGATCCTCCCATGAGGGTGGGGGATCAAGGGGGACAGGGCTACTGCAGGTCTGCCTGCCTCTTCCACCTCTATCCTTGGCTTTAGGAGATCAGGAATCATTTGGAGCTGAAGCAGCAACTGCAGGAAGGTCCTTCTGGAGGACTCCTTTTGTGCGGGCAAACAGCAGGGTCTGACACGGTAAGGGAAAATAATTCCACAGAGATGTCCCTCTCCACAGCCCTTCTCCCAGCACCAGGAGTCCTTGCAGCTCTCTTTTCCTCCAGCAGCTCTGTCCCTCTCTCCAGCCTTTCCTCCTGGACCAGCTCACTCACCAAATTTCCTCTCTTCCAGCATGCTTTTCCTTGGCTTTGCAAAAAAACCATCCTTAGTGTGCTCACTGGGGGGTGGAATGGAAAAGTAAATTTTTCCCAAAGGACGGGAGGCATTGATTGTTTTCACTCTCTTCCCAGTTTGGAACTTTAATTCATTCTGCTTTAGGAACTTCACAGAATTGTGAGATTATTGGCAGGGCAGGAGTTGTGGGGGGTGGAATTGCTTTTAAAACCACTTTAATTTTCATTGCTAATGTTGTGCCATTCTGGAGCCTGGCAGAGGATGTTGGTGCCCTTGTTAGAGACAGAGCTGTTGTAACTCATCTTCACATTCACAGCCACTTCCAGCAATTATTTCTCAAGGCAGTGACAAAAGGAAGGGCCAAGCCTCACACTCTGGATTGTTACCCAACAAAAAGGCTAAGAAAAGTCTTTTGCAAGGAAATCAGTCTCTCCCTGGTAGAGAATGAAACATGTGCTCTGTGTTTGTACATCTAGAGCACATCAGCTGACATTTAAAAGCAAATAACCCCAAAATTCTGCAGTTTCAAGGGCTGGGCTCTGAGAATTCCTGACTTTGTACTTGGGCAATTCAAGAATGATGAAATACAGAGAGTTAAATTGGATTTTGCAGCGAGCTAAGGCAGTGTAATCCTATCTCAGGAGTTCCAAGAACAATTCTTGGTGTGTCAGAGCTCCATGAGCATCTTACCTGGATTATTCTTCCTCAGTGTCACCATTTAGCTCCTGTTTGCCTTTGGAAGCTGCACAATGAATTAAACCCAGGGGCTGTGATTCCTTGGGAGAAGGCAGCAGCACTTGCTGTCTGTGGTACCTTTATTTTATGATCCCTCTCCTGGCTAAGGACTGCTTTCTCCATTAGCACCCCCTTAAAGGTCACGTTCTGAGGTGCATTTTTCTCTCTGACATTTGTCCACACGCAGCACACAGGGAGAAATTAAGTTTGCAGATGTGACCTATGATAACATTTCTGAAATAAACTCAAATTAATCTGCCAAGAAATATTGCTGAGGAGCTGCTCAAAATGTCAGTGTGCCAGTGAGATGAACAGTTGTCTTTTATTGAATGTGCTGCTCTGCTGAAGTGTCCTCCAAGCAATTGCCCATGGATAAAATCTGTCCTGAAATCTGCCTTTGCCATTTACAGCTGAGCATGTTTGCACTCTTAAAAGCTTCTAGACCAATCACAGCATTCAGACTGAAATATGTTTATTAAATATGAAAAGGAAGTGAACAATTACATTTTTTTAAAAATCTATTTATTATATAGTTTTTCATTATATAGATACTCATTGCTTAGTTCTCTTATATATTTTATTTTAATTTGTTTATTAGATACAGATTTATTTTTGTTTAGAAATAAATACATATATAACATAGAAAATATATGTATAAACATAAATAAATATGTGTATATATACATATATATGTATATATAAAATATATTTATAAACACATATTATAGACACATCATAAAATATATTACATATTTTATTATATTATAATATATTATATATGTCTATTATAAACATAATCTAATAAAACATATATACATTTTTATTTTTGAAAATCTATTTATTATATAGTTTTTAATTATATAGATATCCATTGCTTAGTTCTCTTATATATTTTATTTTAATTTGTTTATTAGATACAGATTTATTTTTGTTTAGAAATAAATACATATATAACATAGAAAATATATGTATAAACATAAATAAATATGTGTACATATACATATATGTGTATATATAAAATATATTTATAAACATATATTATAGACACATCATAATAAAATGTATTACATATTTTATTATATTATATTATATATGTCTATTATAAACGTATTCTAATAAAACATATATAAAAAATATACTAAAATACATTTTTAGAGCATTTTTATGACACTTTTAGTCCTGTCCTGTGCAGTTGTGCCAAGGACCTGATGACACCTACTCAGGGCATGATTATTTCCTATCTGTGGCTGCTTAAGAGATGAAATCCTGACTCTGCTGGAAGAGGTGGGGACAATTCCCAATGCATTTCTTGTCTGTATTTCAAGCAGACCTGACTGATGTGTCCATGCAGCGGCACTGCTGGCACAGCCACAGCCCCTCTGTGCCACAAACTGGGTGAATGTCACCCAAAAGCTGTGGCAGTGGGATGCAATCCCTGTGCTGAGGGCTGAGGCCATGGTGCTGCTGTTGAGTCAGGGATGGACAGACAGACTGAAGTTTTCAGGTGGGACAGAAGGCTCTGCTTAATGAAAGCAGCTGGTCTTTCATAATGTGACTCTCTAAGGTGATGCTTGGTTGGTCTCATGGTAGAAACATCTCACACTGTTGGTGACTGTCAACAGCACACTGTGGAGAACCGTAACCATAAACAATGGTTACACAAAGAGAGATAATAATAATTGTCTGAATTCTTTCCTCTAAGATTGCCAGGCCTGGGAGAAGCTGTCTCTGTTCTCTCTCTGACTGAGAATCTCCACAGCTGCGCCCCGCAGGGCCATGGCTGAGCGGGTGCTGGTCATCGGCAGCGGGGGCAGGGAGCACGCCCTGGCCTGGAAGCTGGCACAGTCCCCCCATGTCAAACACGTGTTCGTGGCTCCGGGAAACGCAGGCACGGCTGGCAACGGGAAAATCTCCAATTCAGGTAAAAAGAGGGGAGAAAAATCCCAGTCCAAGCAATCAGCACTGCAGCAACTGGGACAAACCAACTGGGCAGGTATGGTGAATGCAGGGCAGCCCCGATGAGGGGGAGGAAATGGTGCATCAGACTCCTTCTTATCAGAAGGCGAATTAATTACTTTATTATACTCTATTTCATCTAAACTGAATCTGCCCAAGCACCCAACTCACTCAGCTGCACAGAATCTCGTGGCTGCTGACAGTCACAACTCACACACCTGGATTCAATTGGCCAATGAATCAAAGCAATCAAAACACTCACACCAGAATCCAACTACCAATTCCCTTCAGGTAAACAATCTCCCACAATGCATTCCACTTTGGCACAACACAGGTGCAGCCAATGAGATAAGAATTATCAAAACCATTCTTTTCTCTGCTTCTCTCAGGTTCAGAGAATGTGAATTCCACAGGCAGGTGACAGTTGCTCTTTTACAAATGATTGAAGGCACAGATTTCTGCTTTGTTTCTGAATTTCAGAGCTGCATCCTGAAACAGCCTGCTCTGTTTGTTTTAGTCTTACTGCTTAAGATAGTGAGGCTTATATAAGACTGCATTTCTGCACCTCATCTCTTCTACTTTTGTACTTGAATTCTGTGACCAACCTAGTGAAACTTAACCCAGAAGTAGAGGGGTCAAAGTTCTTAATTCTGAATAGAAACATCTCTGTGCCTGCCCAGGCTGCCCAGCAAAATTTAGCTGCATCATCCAATGCTTTGAGTAAATCTTGACCCAGCTGTTGAAACTGAGTTTCTTTCCCAACCTTAAGTTTTATTTTTCAAAGTTGTTATTGTTGTGATAAGCTTTTTAAAATATATCTTGATTACACATGGCAAATAAAGGAGATTTAATCACTTAGCAAATGTGTATTAAAAACAGCAGTGCAAAAAGAAGTTGTTCCCAGCTCCTTTTGGACGCTGCTATTATTAAATTGATATTCCACTTTGTACTTAGTGGGCTGCTTCATGATTTTAATCACACTTTCAGGAGGATGGAAAAAAGACATTCTCATCTCCTGTCTCTTATTTAGGCCTTACACTCACCAGCTAATTATTTTTCCTTTTCAGCTGTATTAGTGAGCAATCACACTATTGTCACCCAGTTCTGCAAAGATCACAACATTGGGCTTGTGGTAGTCGGCCCAGAAGCTCTTCTGGCAGCTGGTGAGTTACTAAAATAATTAAATAAACCTAAGTTGACAGAAAAAAATATATAAATGGTACAATAATATTATAATAATATAGTATAACACAATACAGTATAATTAACACAATATAACACAGTACAACACAATGTAATGTAATACAACACAATATAATATAATTAATATAATGTAATTAAAAAATCAGCACCTTGAAATCTGCTTTTAAATGGGGGAGGTAACTGTGGGAGTGCTCAGTACAGAGCTAAAGAGCCTTAAAACCACAGGCTGAGAAGGGCCAGTGGGCATTCAGAAGCTCACTTGGAGGGTGAATTAATTACCTGAGACAAAGGGAGGTGTAACAAAGGGATGGTGGATGGGATCTCCATTTGTCACAGGGCTCCAAAGAGCCCCCTTGGTGCTTGTGCTGTTTGTGTGGCTCAGGCATCGTGGACGACCTGAGGGCAGCAGGAGTTCGGTGCTTCGGGCCCTGGGCCAGGGCAGCCCAGCTGGCCTCCCACAGCAGCTCCAGCAAAGCCTTCCTGGAGCGCCACGGGCTCCCCACGGCACGCTGGAGAGCCTTCAGCACCGCCCAGGAGGCCTGCAGGTTCATCACCAGGTACAGCCCCACCGGGGCTCCTCTGCCACTGCCTGGGCCTGGGGCTGTCACTTGGGGCTTGGGGAACCCTCAGCTCCTGCTGGATTAATCAGCTCTGTAATTAGAGACAGCTGATGAAGGTGTGGGTGTGGAGCTGCTGGAGCCAGGCTGGGAGAGCTGGGGGTGCTCACCTGGAGAGGAGAAGCTCCAGGGAGAGCTCAGAGCCCCTGGCAGGGCCTGAAGGGGCTCCAGGAGAGCTGCAGAGGGACTGGGGACAAGGGATGGAGGGACAGGAGCCAGGGAATGGCTGCCAGTGCCAGAGGGCAGGGCTGGGTGGGATCTGGGCAATGAGGAATTGTTCCCTGGCAGGGTGGGCAGGGGCTGGGATGGAATTCCCAGAGCAGCTGGGGCTGCCCCTGGATCCCTGGCAGTGCCTAAGGCCAGGCTGGACACTGGGGCTGGAGCAGCCTGGCACAGGGGAAGGTGTCCCTGCAATGGCAGGGTGGCACTGGATGATCTTTAAGGTCCTTCCAACCCAGACCCTTCTGTGATTTTGTGAGCTGCAGCAGGTTGATTTTTCTGTTCTGAATTCCCAGCTCTTCTTTTCCATCTGCTCCTTCAGGATGCTGAATAAGCCATCTATAAGACACAAAGTTGTAATAAAAAAAAAATATTTCAACTAATCTTTCAGTTAGTTAAGGGCTGAGAATCATTTCTACCCAGACAGATGCCAGGAAAATGCTCTCTGAGGATGATTTGGAAGGTTCTGGTCAAATATCCATAACTAAAGGAGAACAGTCCCATTTCTTTGCTTGTGGATTCTGTTCCCAGACTCCTTGTCCTTGCTGGCAAGTGCTCAATGTGGAATAAACCTGTGGACCCTGTGGGGTTTTTTTAGTAAAAACCTTTCTATTAAAAGTTGGGAGTGAAACCAACCTTTTCAGTGGTTTTGCTCTGGAAGAACACCCAGTTTATGTTGCTGCCACACGGAGCCAAGGCCAACACCTCTGTCAGCAAGTGCAGGGCTCCAAAGGGAAAACTGTCCCAGGTGTGCACAGGGAGATGGGGAGAAGGGGTGGGAGCCTGGGTGGTATCAACTGGGCTGAGGTTTAACCCAACAGAAATCACAGTGTGGGAAGGAGAGTGAGGTGTTCTTTCAGGAAACAGGAAATTCAGCCCTTCAAAAAACCTTTTATTTGCTGTTCACAAGCCAGAAGGTGACTGGGTGAAATTAAAATCCATCCATTGCCAGGGTGATGCTTTGTTCCTTTTTAACTTCTGGATTTACCTTGTGTTTCAAAGTGGGGAAATTCTGGAGGTACAGTGGGAGTGTGGGGAGCATCCAGGAGCAGAGTGGAGATCTCCCTGGATGCAGCAGGGATGTCTGACCCCCTCTCTGCTTCCCTTAAAGCACAGACTTCCCTGCAAGGGTGGTGCGGGCGCAGGGACCAGCGGCCAGGAAGGAGGTGACCATTGCAGCCAGCAAGGAGGAGGCCTGCAGAGCTGTCCAGGAGATCATGCAGGTGGAGAAATCCTTAATTAATCCCTGTCAGTCCAAATCTTGGTGCTCTGTACTCTGGGAGTTTGTAGTTCCTGCTACAGGGGACAAGTATTTTTGGGAGAAATTGTTCATTCGGCTCAAAGGTTTCCCTGGGTCTCCTCAGATTCCTCCTGTGTCCCCCAGCCAGGGCTGGAAGCTTTTGTGACTGAACTTCTGTTCCATCCCAGGTCCCACTTCTCTGCCCCTCCAAATTGTAATTTTTCCTTGTCTCCCAGGCCTGATAGGGAATATTTCAGTGTTGCCTCCTTATGTCCAAATGGAATTCCGTTGGCTTTCCCCACTGGCATTCAAGCAAGCTGGCACTTCTCATACACATTGGGTCTTTCTGTTAAAAGAAAATGAAGAGAGGATTTAGGCAGTGGATTCATATCTGCTCACTGGGGATTTCTTTTGCTTTGTTCTGTCTTTTACAGGACAGAATGTTTGGAGAGATGGTTGTTATTGAAGAACTGCTTCAAGGGGAAGAACTTTCTGTAGGTATTGATGGTGTGATGTTGTGCTTTCACTCTTTGGCATTATTGCTGTGCTTCTGTATAAAAACCCAAGTTTATTCTTTCAAGTGTCAATTTTTGTTTTGTTTTATTTGCACTTTTAGAAATCTATATCTATTGCAGATATATAACATGCAATCTAAGCCCTGTGCCATGCTAACCAATGAATGTTGTCATTAGATTTTTCTTCTGCATTAACAATGATGTTGCATTTATAGTGATTATTTTAGGGGGAAATTTTTTTTGCCCTAAAGTGACCCAAACTACATTTTTATGGACTTTACCTTGGTAATTCATGTTACATCTGTAACTTTGTGTTAATATTTAGTGCCTCCTTTAGGCTATTCACATGCCAGAGGACAGGCATGGTCCACATGACTCAAAATCTGATTCATCAAAAGGGAATTGCAATGAGAGCCACCATTTCTCTTGCTAATTTAAACATGAGAAGGAAACAATTAATCCTTCAGGTCAATGGGCTTGTAGCAGAATAAGTGGATCCTATTTGATCTAAATAGATTCTGAGAAATTCTTCACTCAGAGGGTGGGCAGGCCCTGGCACAGGGTGCCCAGAGCAGCTGTGGCTGCCCCTGGATCCCTGGCAGTGCCCAAGGCCAGGCTGGACACTGGGGCTGGAGCAGCCTGGCACAGTGGAAGCTGTCCCTGCCATGGCACTGAGTGAGATTTAATATCCTTTGCATTCTGGTCTTCTGCAATTTCTCCATTTCCCAGCAGAGCTGCGCCCAGCAGCGCTGTCCCGCTGTGTCCATTGTCACCTCTGTCCCTGTCTCTCCCTGCAGTGCTCCTGCTTCACCGACGGTGTCACCGTGGCCTCCATGCCCCCGGCTCAGCCCCACAAGCGGCTGCTGGACGGGGAGCGGGGTCCCACCACGGCGGGGATGGGCGCCTATTGCCCCGTGCCCCAGGTACAGCTGCTGCCCAGTGACATAAGTAAGGGCAGGAGATCTTTCTCCTTTTCAATGCCTTTATTAAAGAGATTCAGCTCAGGTGGGGAGAAATCGACGGGTCGCGCCCACGCCGCCGCTGTCCCCGAGAGTGGCACGGAGGAGGAGGGTCATTGTCACCTCTGTCCCTGTCTCTCCCTGCAGTGCTCCTGCTTCACCGACGGTGTCACCGTGGCCTCCATGCCCCCGGCTCAGCCCCACAAGCGGCTGCTGGACGGGGAGCGGGGTCCCACCACGGCGGGGATGGGCGCCTATTGCCCCGTGCCCCAGGTACAGCTGCTGCCCAGCTCTGCCCTGCACAGCCCCTGCTGCTCCAGGGCTCTCACCCAGCAGTCATCCTTTGGGCTTTCGTTCTCTGGAGCAGCCTCTCTTTTACCTCTCCTGTTATTCCTAAGCTTTGTGTTTCTCTGCTCCCATCAGCATCAGGAATCCCTGTAGAATTCCCTGTGTGCCTGGGACCTTGGTGCGCTGAACATTAAGCTGGGGGTCCTTGTTGGTCCTAAAGCACTGCTCCCCCACGCTTTCAGTGGGTGTTTCTCCAGGGACAGGAGCACTCTGACTGTGTTCAGCCCAGGTTCCAGTCCCAGCCCTCCCTGAGAAGCACCCAAACCCCCTCGGCAGGCAGAGCACCCCAAGGGAAGGAGCAGGGCTTGGGGGGACAGCAGCAAACACCCCAGGCACCTCCTCAGCCCAGTCCTTCCAGCAAGGCCAGCAGGTGCCACCACTGCCCCGTGCCTTTCGTTTGGTTCTCAGGTTCCAGAAGCTCTTCTAGAGCAAATCAGGGGTGCAATCCTCCAGCACCTTGTGGACAGCTTGAGACAAGAAGGAGCAGCCTATGTAGGTGAGTGAGCACCTGAAAACCAAGGTGAGCCCCTCTCCAGGTCACTTCCATGGTCAGAGGCTGCTTCTGAGTTCCAGATGGCATTTGTTTCAAAAAATAACCCAGCAGCAGCTCATTTTTCATGCAGTGTTAAGCCTCACTCATTTGGTTCACAGCTCTTTGTCTGGGAGATAAGCTTGGCCTTGTTTCCTTAAAACACCATGATTTTATTAAATATTTTTAAACAAAACAGATTTATTTGCAGTTCAGGGCAGAACATATACTTCAGTCCTGCAGCACTGCTCACTCCTACATACAACAATGGCCATTTTCTCCAAATCTTTATCCAGAGGCTGTTTTGGAAAAGGCAGGTGGTGCCCACAGGTGCCACTTAATGCCAAGGGCTGCTGTTGGCACTGAGGAGATCTCAGTCCTCTAAAGAGTTGGGCTCCCACCCACATCTTCAAATCCTGCTTTTTGGGGCCTTTTTTACAATGCCTGAGTAAGAGTGGAGTGGGAGTTGAGTAAGAATGGAGTTGGGTGCACGATGCCAGAGAACCTTTGCTTTGTGGGGTTAAAAATGTTGGTGCCCTGCTCCTCAGGTGGCTGCTTGTCACTTTTATGGACATTTGGGAATTATTATGGCTTGCAGGGTTCTTGCTCCTAAGGCCTTCTGGTTTGCAGAATGCTCCATAATGCTCTGTTTCTTTTAAAGGCATTCTTGAGAGAAAGAAATAAATAGATTAATGATTAATTTCATTTGCTTGGCTTTGTGTCCAGGTGTGCTGCAAACAGGTTTGATGCTGACCAAGGAGGGGGTGAAGATTTTAAACTTTAAATGCCAGTTTGGGGATCCCCAGTGTCAGGTGAGTGGAACACACTGGAAAATTAGAGATGCTCCATTCTTTTACCTCTTACTGTTGTAGTTTATTTCTAGGGAAAGATCTGGATGTGAACATCTTAGGCAATCTCTGAGGTAACATTTTGGCTCATCAGCTCCTGTGAATTATTAGTTAAAAAAAATCTGTTCCTCGGATTTTGTTTTTCTGGATAGAAGCAGAATGGGAGAGGCCTAAATTCTTGTTCTTTTAAAATAAGCTCACACCTTACATTTCTAAATTTATGACTGGTGCCAGAAGATGCTGCAAATTAAATTAAAACCCAGAGTTTCCAACTCTACTGGCTTGGCACATACAGATTGTGTTCCATCAATTGAATTTTCCCTGAGGTGAATTTCAACAAACCAGCAAAATAAAAATCAACTTCCATCACTCTGAAAACTTTTTTACAGGTAATTCTCCCTCTGCTTAAAAATGATTTTTATGAAGTGATTCAAGCAACAATTGATGGCAAACTGTGCAGCTGCATGCCAGCCTGGCTGGAGAACAGAACTGCTGTGTGTGTGGTCATGGCCAGCCCAGGGTACCCAGGAGACTCTGACAAAGGCATGGAGGTCACAGGTAACTTGGGACCTTCTTAATTATTTAATTGCTTCCTCACAGGGCTCCAGGCTCTGGGCAAGGTGGGCTTTGGGATATTCTGAATTCGTGTAGGTATTCAATATTAGCTTAGATATTAGAGACAGGTATTCAGTATTCATATAGATATTATAATATGTATTTTATAGACATATATTAGATATAGATGTTCAATATTCATTTGGATATTAGATATAGATATTCAATATTCATATAGATATTAGATACAAGTATTCAATATTTATAAGGATATTTGACATATATATTCAATATCCATATAGATATTCAATATTCATATAGATATTTGATAAAGATGTTCAGTATTTGCATAGGTATCCAATATCTATATATATATTACATAGATACTCAATATTCATATGGATATTTGATATTGCTATTCAACCTTCATACAGATATTAGAAATAGATATTCAATATCCATATAGATATTCAACAGAGATATTCAGGATGTATACAGGTATTCAATATTCACTTAGATATCAATATCCATTTGGATAATAGATATAGATATTCAGGATTCATGTAGGCATTCAATATTCATTTGGATATCAATATCCATTTGGATAATAGATATAGATATTCAAGTTTCATACATGTATTCAATATCCATTTGGATATTGGATATAGATATTCAGGATTCATGTAGGTATTCAATATTCCTTTATGTATCAATACTATTTGGATATTGGATATAGATATTCAGGATTCATGCAGGTATTCAATATCCATTTAGATATCAATACTATTTGGATACAGGACATAGATATCCAGGACTCATGCAGGTATTCAATATCCATTTAGATATCAATACTATTTGGATACAGGTCATAGATATTCAGGATTCATGCAGGTATCCATATCCATGTCCTCTGTTCCAGTACTCCAGGTTCAGGATCTGGTGAGGATGTTTGCAGTGTTTAAAACCAGGAACTGTTGCAGAATCATTTCCTGCCTGCTCAGCTGCTGCCCTGCCAGTCCCACCCTCTGCTGGTGTCAGCCCAGCACCTCAGCTCCTGGCTGGGCTCCCCAGTTTTGGCAGAAATTTTTGGCATTTTCTCTCTGGGGAAAAGAGAGATTCTCCATTTCTCCATTCCCCAGAGACAAGGTTGTGCTCTGCTGCCTTGCCCCTGGCAGGGTTTCTGACTCCCTGCTTGTTAATCCCAAAAAACACAGTCAAACCAATGGAATTAATATTTTTTTATTATTTTTTATTATTTTTAATTATTTTTGATTTTTTTTTTAATTTTTTATTCTTTTATTTTGTATTTTACATATATATTATTTTATAATAATTCTCTTATTCCTTTTGTTCTAATAATGTCATTATTATTTATGTAATTATTATGTTATTATTCCGTTATTATCTTCCACTTCAGAGTTTCATGGGGTTTCTTAGTTTTTATTTTCTTTTTCACACTGAATCACATCTTTTTGGATGATGCTTCCAGGATGGGATTGTTGGGGTGTCCTGTGCAGGGCCAGGGGTGGGAATGGCTGATCCCTGGGTGTCCTTCCAGCTCAGGATATTCTGTGATTCTCTGATTTTAATGGCTTGACAAAGTTTCTATTCTGAAGCATTCCTTAAAAGAGGATGCAAAGGGGCTGGAATGCAGCAGGGCCAGGGGGAGGAATCCCTTGAGCCCGTAGCAAGGAGAAAACCGTGCTTGGTTCTCATTTCCCCAGGTGATGGCAGCAGTTCCTCCTGTTCCTTTATCTTCCCTCAAAACAGGAATCTGAAAAACTCCAAACCTCCTTTTGCCTCCCAGTGTCAGAGCAGCCCCCTGTGAGTGTTGGTGGAGCACCAGGTCCAGGTGTAGCAGGGAGCTGCGTGGAGTGGGCAGGATGGAATGGTGGGAGAGCAGAGGTAACATCAGCACTGATGGTGTTTCAGGATCTGGTGAGGATGTTTGCAGTGTTTAAAACCAGGAACTGTTGCAGAATCATTTCCTGCCTGCTCAGCTGCTGCCCTGCCAGTCCCACCCTCTGCTGGTGTCAGCCCAGCACCTCAGCTCCTGGCTGGGCTCCCCAGTTTTGGCAGAAATTTTTGGCATTTTCTCTCTGGGGAAAAGAGAGATTCTCCATTTCTCCATTCCCCAGAGACAAGGTTGTGCTCTGCTGCCTTGCCCCTGGCAGGGTTTCTGACTCCCTGCTTGTTAATCCCAAAAAACACAGTCAAACCAATGGAATTAATATTTTTTTATTATTTTTTATTATTTTTAATTATTTTTGATTTTTTTTTTAATTTTTTATTCTTTTATTTTGTATTTTACATATATATTATTTTATAATAATTCTCTTATTCCTTTTGTTCTAATAATGTCATTATTATTTATGTAATTATTATGTTATTATTCCGTTATTATCTTCCACTTCAGAGTTTCATGGGGTTTCTTAGTTTTTATTTTCTTTTTCACACTGAATCACATCTTTTTGGATGATGCTTCCAGGATGGGATTGTTGGGGTGTCCTGTGCAGGGCCAGGGGTGGGAATGGCTGATCCCTGGGTGTCCTTCCAGCTCAGGATATTCTGTGATTCTCTGATTTTAATGGCTTGACAAAGTTTCTATTCTGAAGCATTCCTTAAAAGAGGATGCAAAGGGGCTGGAATGCAGCAGGGCCAGGGGGAGGAATCCCTTGAGCCCGTAGCAAGGAGAAAACCGTGCTTGGTTCTCATTTCCCCAGGTGATGGCAGCAGTTCCTCCTGTTCCTTTATCTTCCCTCAAAACAGGAATCTGAAAAACCCCAAACCTCGCACAGTTTTGCCTCCCAGTGTCAGAGCAGCCCCCTGTGAGTGTTGGTGGAGCACCAGGTCCAGGTGTAGCAGGGAACTGCGTGGAGTGGGCAGGATGGAATGGTGGGAGAGCAGAGGTAACATCAGCACTGATGGTGTGATGGCAGGGAGAGGGCAGAATCCAGGCAGGAAAGGGCTGTGGGTTGAGATTTCCTGCAGGAAAACCCTGCACAAATTATCCACAGCTCCCAGAGAGAGAGCACAGCTTTCCTTGCACAGGGCAGGGATGTGTCCTGTGGGGGCTCCTGGATCCCACATTTCTGCTCCTGTGGGATTTCTTTCTTTACTTTTGGGGTGCACCAGAAGTGGACACGTAGGAGAGAGCCCAGAGGAGGCTCCAGAATGAGCAGAGGGATGGAGCAGCTCTGCTGGCAGGAAAGGCTGGCACAGCTGGGATTGTTCAGCTGCACAGGAGAAGCTTTGGGCTGAGCTCAGGGTGGCCTTGCAGGGCCTGAAGGAGCCCCAGGAAACCTGGAGAGAGACAATTTCCAGGGGATGCAGGGACAGCACACAGGGAATGGCTTCCAACTGAAAAATTACAGGTTTAGATCAGATATTAGGAACAATTTCCTCCCTGGCAGGGTGGGCAGGGGCTGGGATGGAATTCCCAGAGCAGCTGGGGCTGCCCCTGGATCCCTGGCAGTGCCCAAGGCCAGGCTGGACACTGGGGCTGGAGCAGCCTGGCACAGGGGAAGGTGTCCCTGCCATGGCAGGGGTGTCACTGGCGTGGGCTTTGAGGTCCCTTCCCACCCAAACCAGTCTGGAATTCCATGATCAGAAGGGGATTCCTGGAGCCAGTGCAGTGGGATCCCTTTCACTGATGATGCTGTTTCTCAGAAAAAAAGCAAAGGTGAAAATTTCTGTTGTTCTCCCTTGACTGAATAAAGGACTTCAATCTTCAGTGTTTTGCCCAAGGAAGGTAATGGATCTGGGGAAAGGTCTGGAAAACACACCCTGGGAGGAGCAGCTGAGGGAGCTGGGAAGGGGCTCAGCCTGGAGAAAAGGAGGCTCAGGGGGGACCTCACTGCTCTGCACAGCTCCTGCCAGGAGGGGCAGGGAAAGGAGGAGAGGAAATGGCCTCAAATGGCACCAGGGGAGGCTCACGTTGGAGACTGGGAAAGAAAATTTCCCTGGCAGAGTGGTCAGGCCTTGGGCTGAGCTGCCCAGGGAGGTTTGGAGTCACTGGGATTGTCCCAGAGGAGTCTGGATGTGGCCTTGGGGACAGGCTTTGGGGTGATGCTGAGGGGACACCTGAGGTGCAACTGGATGATCCTGAAGGGCTCTTCCCACCTTAATTCTGAGATTGTCTCCAGAGAATGCAATTCACAAACCTCAGAGAATCCCCAGATTTGTCTTTGCAGGCCTTGTGCAGGCCAAGGAGCTGGGGCTGCAGGTGTTCCACGGGGGCACAGCGCTGAAGGACGGCAGGGTGGTGACCAGCGGTGGCAGAGTCCTGTCCGTCACTGCTGTCCGGCAGGACCTGATGGAAGCCCTGGGAGAAGCCAACAGGGGTGTGGCCACCATCCACTTCCAGGGGGCCACCTTCAGGAGGGACATCGGGCACCGGGGCCTGCGGCTGCTGCGGCAGCCCCTGTACGTGAGCACAGCCCGGATGTTCCTCCCTGCCCTCACATCTGGGCCACCTCTGCTGGCCCTGCAGAAAGGTCACTGCTGCTGCCAGCTCGTCCTTCCCTCCCCACAGGGCCCTGATGTACAAGGACAGGCACGTGGGAGCTGGAGCCAGGGAGGCTTTGAGCTGTCTGCCACAAACATCAGCTGTGAGAGGCACCAGGGCAGGTAGGACTGGGAAGAATCTGAGAATTCCCTCAGTATATTGGGTTTTTTCTCCCTGGGGGTTGGGCAGTGCACTCAGGGCATTGAAATTGAGCTTGGGAAACTGGGCTGGGATCAGCACAAAGAAAGAATATCAATTTCTTTCTTGTCACTCTTGTGATTAATTAACAAATGCCTGCCTTGCCATGGAGGGATTGTGCTTCTTAGAGGTGCAGAATGGAGAGGAACACATTGGAAATAAATAAATAAATAAAATAATAGTAATAGAAACCCTGGAGCAAAGGAGGCTCAGGGGGCCCTTGTGGCTCTGCACAAGTCCCTGCCAGGAGGGGACAGCCGGGGGGGTCGGGCTCTGCTCCAGGGAACAGGGACAGGAGCAGAGGGAACGGCCTCAGGCTGGGCCAGGGCAGGCTCAGCTGGGCCAGCAGCAGGAATTTGCCCATGGAAAGGGTGCTCAGGCCTTGGCAGGGGCTGCCCAGGGAGCTTTGCAGTGCCCATCCCTGCAGGTGTCCCCTGGGGGTGGCACTGAGTGCTCTGGGCCGGGGACAAGGTGCCCATGGGGCACAGCTGGCCCTGCCTGGGCTGGCAGGGCTGTGCCAGCCCCGGGGATTTTGGGATAATTTGCAGTTTTTTCTTGGTGAGAGTTTTGGGTGGTTTTATTTCCCATAAATCCAGCCCATGCTGTGTTTGTACCCAGCAGGAGGGCGCTCAGAAGGAGGAGGCTTTGCTGCTTTCTTTGACCTGAAGGCATCTGGTTATGATGATCCCATCCTGGTGTGCCAGACCAAGGGCCTTGGACCCAAACTGCAGGTAATTCACTGGCAGCTCCACTGCAGCACAGCTGATGGCACCTGCTGTTGATTTTTATGATTTTTTGTATTTTTTTATTATTTATTTCTAAAATCTTCTTTATCTCTGGGAATAGAAGTCTTCTTTTCCCTTTGAAGCTATAGGGTCTTATCATTCTTCTCTCTTTCTCTGTTTAAACTTCTTATAGATTACAGCTACTCTACTACCTGTTAATTCTGGTATGGAGGCTTTTGTTTGATATCAATTTGAATACTTTAATCTCTCCATACTTTCATGTAGGGAAAAAGAGTTTTTTTCTACAGTTTTGCAAGAGGATTTCAGCCTTAAGATTAAGGCAATTCCTCATCCCCCCTGTGTGAGATTTGACTTTTTTCTTTACTGACTTCGATGTCTTTATGTTGTTTCTTTTCATGTTTGTATTTCTTGTATCTTGGACTTAGATGTTTATTAGTTTTTATTTATGTTACAATATTACAAGTTGTGAGTTTTAGAGTACTTTACTAACAAGGTAAAAAGTTGAGCTTTATCTCCCTTTCCATAAGTTGCTGTCTAATTAAGAAATTACACTTAAATTGTTTTTACTTTTAAGTTATTAACTGACTGCTCGTGACTTGTAATGTGGACTTCTTTTTTCTAATTACACAATGCTACTTAAACCTGTGAAAAAGAAGGTAAAGCTGAACTAGCTTCTGCTTTAAAACTTTTATCTTGTTTTTTATATATTACTATATTATAAAACTTTAAACTCTTACAAGTTTTTTACCATGTGATATTACACAATTCTATTTAAACTACACACCCATAATTTAAGTTTTATCATTCAATTTTGGAACTTTTCTCCACTGTTTCAAGTCAAATGCGGTGTTCTCTTGAGGGTCAGTGTTTGTTAGCACAGAAAATCTGAAATTCTCAGTAGCCAGGGCTCCCACAACCTGCCAGGGCTGTTCCAGTCCCACCAGCTGCACCCTCCTGAGCTCCACAAACACTCCTGAGTCCACCACAGTGGGCACCTGCACTTTGGAAATTGTGATTTGTGCAAGGCCTGGGCATCCTTAATTGAGGATGTGGATATTTTGTGGTGAAATGATAACAATCCAAAATTTAGCTGGAAACTTGAGGCAGTGAACCCCCGAATTTCTGCTCTAAATTGGAGGGTCTGTTAGAGGATTTGAGGTCCATTTGAGGAGGATCTGTGTGGAGGAGCACAGAATTGAGAACTGGCAGGCTCAGCCTAATAAATTGTGTGTGGAGAGGGAGAACAGGCCAGGACACTGAGGAAAGGAAGGATGGAAGAAATAAACATTAAAGAAGCCAAGAAATAGAGGATTTTAATTAGCCAAGAACACAAAGGACAAGCTGAGTTAGGAATATATTAATGTAGAGAATTGGGATAAATTGAACCAGGGATATATTTATGTATTGAATCAGGATAAGCTGACCTGGGGGTTTATTTTTCTGTTAAATCAGAAGGTTTTCAGCCATCAGGAGAGGGGAGATCTGAAGCTCCTGTCACTGCCAAGCACAGCGATGTCCCTTGTTTCAAATGGTTTGTGCCTTTAATGGCAGGACAACAAACAGCAGGAGACTGAGCAGAATCATCCTGAAGGTCTTTGGCAGTCTCACATCCTCAGGCACCTCTGAGCATGAAAAAGTGATTGCTGCAGGCTCCTGTGGGCCTTTGTTCCAGTGCTTGGCACAGGGACATCCCCAGCTGTGCTCCCAAGGCTCTCCCTTGGCCAAGCAAAGGTTGGCAGCTGCCTGCCAGGATTGCTCCTGGAGCAGTGGCAGGGAGGTGCTGTCATGCACCAAGGGCCATGGGGTGCCTGTTTCCACAGCACTCCTCAACCCAGCAGCCAGGGAAATCAGTCAGGAATCCAAGCCCAGGCTTTGTTTGGCTGCTGCTCCATCACCAGTGGGAATCCAGTGGTGTTTATTCCATGTTTTCTCCTCACCCATCCCTCTGTCCTGGGATTTTCTGATCAGGTGGAACTGTGTCAGTGAATGGAACCTCCTTGAAAGGTTATCCACTGATGATCTTAAAGGCTTTTTGCACTCTGAATACTTCTTTGCATTTATAATTCTGTGATCCCTGTGTAGCCTTTGTCCATGGCAGCCCTGTGAGTTGAGCAGGAGGCTCCAGGGTACCCTGAGAGCTGGAAATGTCAGAACCTCATGGGAGCCACAACACCTGAGCCAGGTTTCATTACATGTGAAATGCAGACACGGCGAGGAGTTCTTCTAGAACCAAACAGCAACTTCCCTGAGGGAATTGTGCTTTACCAAAAACCTTCCTGCAGGGCCTGAAGGGGCTCCAGGAGAGCTGCAGAGGGACTGGGGACAAGGCCTGCAGGGACAGGAGCCAGGGAATGGCTGCCAGTGCCAGAGGGCAGGGCTAGATGGGATCTGGGCAATGAGGAATTGTTCCCTGGCAGGGTGGGCAGGGGCTGGGATGGAATTCCCAGAGCAGCTGGGGCTGCCCCTGGATCCCTGGCAGTGCCCAAGGCCAGGCTGGACACTGGGGCTGGAGCAGCCTGGCACAGGGGAAGGTGTCCCTGCCAGGGCAGGGAATGGGACTTGGATGAGCTTTAAGGTCTCTTTCAACCCAAATAATTCCATGATTCTATGATAATATTCCAGAAAGTAAACAAAAAAAAAAATCTCAAACTGACAATTTCTAGGTAGCTGTGGCTGTAATTCAACCCAAATAATTCCATGATTCTATGATAATATTCCAGAAAGCAAACAAACAAACAAAAAATCTCGAAATGACAATTTTTAGGTAGCTAGGACTGAAATTCAAATTAATATTATTAAAAAAAAAAAAGAGTTTTCTTTTTCTGTCTTTGGCTGTAATTCAAATTAATATTAAAAAAAAAAAAAGCAAAATGGAGATTTCATTTTTCTGTCTGCAAGAAAATGAGCTGTTTTCTCTTGATTTTAACCAGGTAATGCACCGGGTTCTGTCTTCCACGTATGTCCTGTAGTGCTTCCTTTCAGAGAAAAGAAGGTTTCTGCTGATTTCACTGATGGAAAATTGAGTTTGGCCTGTTTCTCCTTCCCACCATGTTTTGCAGGTTGCCCAGGTCTGTAAAAGACACGACACCATCGGGCAGGACCTGGTGGCCATGTGTGTCAATGACATCCTGGCCCAGGGGGCTGAGCCCCTCTTCTTCCTCAGCCATCTGGCCTGTGGCAAACTCGATGCTGAAGTGATGGAAACCATCAAAGAAGGAATAGCTGAGGCTTGCAGGAGTGCAGGGTGTGCTTTCCTGGGTATGGACCTTCCTCTCCTCTGAGGTGTGAAGGGTCTGAGGTTGAATTTGTCACCAGAGAAATGGACTTGGGAGGCGGAGGTGGAATGTGGCCCTGGAATTGTTGGTTTCTGTTTGGTGGAAAAAACAGAGAATTTGTGCTTCGGTTCTTCCTGCTCTGTAAAATGGGTCAGCACAGGAAGATGGGGTTTAGTGTTTGTGCACTTGGGTCCTTGCTCTTCCTTCTTTATCCCTGAACAAAGGAGAACAGAACTGGAAGCCTCACAATGTTAAATGTTAATGTTTCCATGCCCTTTCCATACTCAGGGAGGTGCCACGTGAGTACCAGAATTAATAATAACAAAACCACTTCTTCTTTCCTGAAGCTTTGTTTTGATGGAGTCTTGAGGTGAAGTAACAAATCCAGAAGGATTTTAAAAATACATCTGAATCTTCTTCGGCTGTGTGTCCCTGGATGCGCTGCTGACTTTAGGAGATGCCATAAATTTAAAATGGTGTTACAATAATGGCTTTGAGCTGAGGGAGGGCAAGGTTAGGTGGGATATTGGGCAGGAATTGTTCCCTGGCAGGTGGGCAGGGGCTGGGATGGAATTCCCAGAGCAGCTGGGGCTGCCCCTGGATCCCTGGCAGTGCCCAAGGCCAGGCTGGACACTGGGGCTGGAGCAGCCTGGCACAGGGGAAGGTGTCCCTGCCATGGCAGGGGTGGGATGGGATGGGATTTAAGGTCCCTCCCAACCCAAACCAGTCTGGGAATTCTGTGACTCTAAAACGACCACAAGCAGGAGGTGCTGACCGCCGTCTCCCCTTGCAGGTGAGGAGGTGACAGAAGCGGCAGCCCCGTGTCCCCCGGGGCACTGTGACCTGGCGGGGTTCGCGGTGGGCGCGGTGGAGCGGGGCCAGCGGCTGCCGGGGCTGCAGAGAGCCGAGGAGGGGGACGCGCTCCTGGGGCTGGGCTCCCCCGGCATCCACGGCCGCGGCTTCGGCGTCGTGCGGAGGATCCTCCTGACAGCCTCGCTGCGCTGCTCCTCGCCAGCCCCGGGCAGCTGCGGGGACACCACGCTGGGTGGGCTCTCCTTCTTCCCCGGCCCTCTGCTCCCGTCGGGCTGGGTTTGTCAGACTTTGGGCTCGGGCTGCTGCCCGCTGCTCTGCAAGAGTGGGCAGCACTTCTGCCTCCTTCCCAAGCCTTCTGCAAGGACTAGGAGAGAGCCTGTCCAGGGAAACGTTGCCGAAAACACCCCACGGCCTTTGAAACAAATCCATCGGATTCAGCCTGGAGAATGGAAGGCTCTGGGAGAGCTCAGAGCCCCTGGCAGGGCCTGAAGGGGCGCCAGGAGAGCTGCAGAGGGACTGGGGACAAGGGATGGAGGGACAGGAGCCAGGGAATGGCTGCCAGTGCCAGAGGGCAGGGCTGGATGGGATCTGGGCAATGAGGAATTGTTCCCTGGCAGGGTGGGCAGGGGCTGGGATGGAATTCCCAGAGCAGCTGGGGCTGCCCCTGGATCCCTGGCAGTGCCCAAGGCCCGGCTGGACACTGGGGCTGGAGCAGCCTGGCACAGGGGAAGGGGTCCCTGCCATGGCACTGGATGAGCTTTAAGGTCCCTCCCAATCCAAATCATTCTGTGATTTTTGATTCTAAACCTCTCCTGAGGTTTGAAACAGGGCTGAGCTGAGGCTGTTGTTTGCAGGAGATGTTTTGCTGACCCCAGGGAAGATGTTCAGCCCAGCTCTGCTGCCCGTCCTTCGCTCAGGCCACGTGAAGGGCTTTGCCCCCACGGCCGAGGGGCTCCTGGGGGGCATCTCCAGGCTCCTGCCCGAGCACGTCAGCGCCGTCCTGGGTGAGTACCTGAGGGGCTTCTGGGACAGAACTGGGACAGAACTCAGCCCCAGCAAGGCCTTGACCTTCCACCTTCAGCTGTGGAATCCTCAGAAATGTCCCTGCAGAGGGGGATGGCCTCACGTGGCTGCTTCCCAAGGGGCCGCCAAAACCACTCCTGTTCCAAGACATGAGCCCCCACTGCTTGTTGGAGAAGGGAAATTCCAGAGGAGTTTAAGGGCAGCACATGTTTAGGACAAAAGGTGTTGGAGAAGATTGTGTGTTCCTCAGGACACCTCTCCAAACAAAACATTTTGACCAAATACTGAGGTTTGGTAGGGTGATAAATTTGCATGATTTGCTTCACACACACACACATTTAATGTGCTTTTTGGTAGCTTCCCCACATCACCTGACATCTGTGAGTAAGGTAGAACTTTTTCTGATGAAGCCAAAATTGGGCAAAGAATTCAGAAGTTTGAAATATAAAGAAAACCACATTCATGTGAGTCTAAAAATACAGTGGGGATGGGGAAGGGGAAAGAAAGGTGTCTGTGTGTTGGGTTGTATTTCTCTATAATGAAATTGGAAAGGAAAGAAAGTAATTTCCAAGGCCAGGTTGGACACTGGGGTTTGGAGCACCCTGGGGCAGTGGAAGGTGTCCCTGCCATGGCAGAGGATGGATTGAGATGGGTTTTAAGGTCCCCTCAGCTGGGCCAGCAGCAGGAATTTGCCCATGGAAAGGGTGCTCAGGCCTTGGCAGGGGCTGCCCAGGGAGCTTTGCAGTGCCCATCCCTGCAGGTGTCCCCTGGGGGTGGCACTGAGTGCTCTGGGCTGGGGACAAGGTGGCCATGGGGCACAGCTGGCACTGCCTGGGCTGGGAGGGCTCTGCCAGCAGCAGGGATTTTGGGATTCTGTGACAACAAAAATTGCTCTCTACCAGCTCTTGTGACACATCACTGTCGTTGCAGACAGTAAATAATAAATAATGACAAACATTTGTGCTGCCCACACACCAATTTCGATCTTTCCCAGATGCTCTCAGCTGGAAGATCCCTGAAATCTTTGGCTGGCTCTACAAGGAGGGGAACCTCTCTGCAGAGGAGATGGCTCAGACCCTTCCCTGTGGGATCGGGGCCGTCTTGGTCGTGCAGAAGGAGCTGGCCCAGCACGTTCTCCAGGACATCCAGAGGCAGCAGGAGGCCTGGCTGATTGGGAAGGTGGTTGCCCCTTGTCACACAGGTGAGCAGATGTCCTCGTGGGACTGAAGAGACTCCCTGTTGCAAAGTCTGTGTAGTTCACACCACTTTCCTGTTGTTTCACTAGGCTGGAGGCTGCTGGACACTTCCACATCTATATTTCAGTATTAAATAAATGAGAAATGAATTCTTGTTTCAGAGTGGCAGCACCTGGATAACCTCTTCCTCTCCCTGAGGCTTCAGGGAATCCCTGTGCTGATTGTTCCGAAAATCAGGGGATATTTTACCACGCTCATGGTGATAATTCCCCTCCTGTCCAGCCCTTCCCAGCTCACACAAACCTGTGTAAAAGCTGAGGACAGGCCACAGCTTTGTACAGTCACCTGTGGTGATGGTCAGTCTGAATCCTGGTGTGGCACTGATTGACATCCAGCAGGACATGAACCAAAATCCCTCAGGAAACACAACAGTTTGGGCAGCCAAAATGTCACCTCAGCTCTGTCAGCATCAGTTTTAGTGTCCTTTTGCAACATGGGAGGTATAAAAGATGGGAATAATCCTTGAAAAGGCCATGCCTGGGCCTTTGTGAACAACTCTGTGAGCAGGTAACAGCAGAGGCCAGCACAGCTCCTGGCATCTGGGCTCTTCAAGCACTGAACCCCTCTGGAGCTCCATCTGTGCCAGCATAAATTCATTGCTGATGCAATTTCTTGTTGTTGAAACATTATTAATAAACTACACAAATCCAGATTAGAAGGAAAGGTAAAATCTAACACTTTCCCTGTGTGTTTGGAGCAGGTTCTCACATTGTAGTGGAGAATCTTGCAGAGGCCCTGCAGCTGAGCAGCCCCCAGCAGCTGCTGGATGCCAGCACTGCTGAGATCCAGCCCCAGCCCAGGAAGAGAAAGGTGAAGGTGGCTGTTCTTGTCTCTGGAGCAGGTGAGCTGTCACTTGTCCTGGCACACAGAATGTCCTCACACAGGAAAGGCTGGTTCAGGTGTGTCCACCTGGCTTTTCTTTCAGTGGAATCTCCAGACCCCTCAAAGTCCAGGGCTTCATTTTAAAAATCCAGATTAGAAGGAAAGGTAAAATCTAACACTTTCCCTGTGTGTTTGGAGCAGGTTCTCACATTGTAGTGGAGAATCTTGCAGAGGCCCTGCAGCTGAGCAGCCCCCAGCAGCTGCTGGATGCCAGCACTGCTGAGATCCAGCCCCAGCCCAGGAAGAGAAAGGTGAAGGTGGCTGTTCTTGTCTCTGGAGCAGGTGAGCTGTCACTTGTCCTGGCACACAGAATGTCCTCACACAGGAAAGGCTGGTTCAGGTGTGTCCACCTGGCTTTTTCTTCCAGTGGAATCTCCAGACCCCTCAAAGTGCAGGGCTTCATTTTAAGTCAAAGAGTTGTGTTGCACTGCTTAAAAACTGAGCTTTATCAGCGCCCCCACCCTCAGTGCTGTTTGTGGACAAGCAGATCTTTGTCTGAGCAGCAGCTGAGAGCCCCTCCCAGGGCTGTGGTGCAGCAGAGAGGGGTTTACATGGTGGGTGCTGCTACCTATAATCCCCAGTAAGCATCTCCTGTGGAAAAGATGCTTGGGGAGGCATTCAGGCAAGGCAGTCAAGTCCACTGTGAAAAACATGCTCACTGTCCTGTGAAAATGTAAGAAGTTTCATAAAGGACAACAGGAGACAAGGACCACAGAGCAAAGGTTATTACTCAGCCAAGAGCACCCCATTATCTTTGGGGATACCCCTTAAAAACCTTTTCATTACATCAGCCCTTTGCATGTTCATAGACCCTTATGCACAGGAAACTTTTCCCCAAATTACATTACATGTTTCAAGAACTGTTTAGCTTATCTTCTTCTTGGCTCCACCTTTTTAGAGGATGTGTATTCCTTGGGTGTGGTTTTAGCCCTTTTTTATCATCACTTCCAGTTTTTGGGCCCTGGCCCACTCTGCCTTCAGAGGGTGAGTGCTGAGAGTTGGCAGATCTGGGTAGGTCCTCATCCTGTGTTCATTGGGTGTTATCCCATCCCAGCAGGCATTTTAACACAAACATATCAGCTGTTTCACTAAGCTTCATTAACACCAGAAACAAAACCCATATCTTTATAACAGAGTTACTCTAACACCACACATATAAAATCCACTTGAATATTTGTGAAAAGCCAATATGATGTATCTATAACATCCACACACCACACTCACCATGGCCAGCTCAGGCAAGAAAGGCAGAAGGGCCTTTTGTAGGGTCAGTTCCAGCGAGGTTTATTTCAGCACACCAAAGGGAAACCAGGGATAAAAGACAAAGCCATGTGGGGTGCACAGGGTTAAGTATGGGGTCAATGGTCTGAGGGCACAGGGATGGCACAAGGGGCAGGACAAAGGGCATTGCCCTACAGGGAAGACCTGGCCACTAGGGATACCACAACCAGTGAAGGAACAGGGAAAGGAGGAACCATGAGAATTTGGGACATATAGGGAAGGGAACAGGAGTGGTTCATTGTTAAACAAGACTCCATGAGGAAGACCTTCCCAGGTGGGGGAAACTCTTTGGTCAGTCTCTCCAAGGCAGGGCTGTGGCTATTTCCCTGAGGGGGGAAGGGTTCAGAGGATTGCCCACGGAGGGTGCTGACGTTCCCCCCTCTCTGCTCTCTCCCCCTGGAGGCACGGCCCTGCCTGCCCTCATCGGCTCGGCCCGGGAGCCGGGCAGCTGTGCCCAGCTGGTGCTGGTCATCTCCAACAGACCCGGCGTGCAGGAGCTGCGCAGCGCCGCCCGCGCCGGGATCCCCACCAGGGTAAGCGCCAGACACCGCGGCTCGCCCTAAAAATGTTAACAGCTTTACTAAACCTTAGCAGGAATTACAGCTGAAGGACTAAATAAGGACAAACTGCAGCACTAGGAGATGTCCTTGTGGCTGCCTACCACGGGGCTGGCTCATCTTCAAGACTGATGCTTTTCCCTGGGGGTTGTATCAGCCAACCCTGGTCCCTCCCAAAGTCTGTCAGTCAGCTCTCCTTTGTGGTTTTTTTTGGTGGACACTAATTTCTTGCAACTTGATTGGAGGGTCGGGTGTTGTCATGCCCCCCCCCCAGCACCAAGCTTTTCCATGCCAACTGTCCCATGCAAGGGGTTTATGCACATGGTTTCTTTCTACCTGTCCTAGGCAACCCCGGCTGTCTGGTGGGACAAAACAGAGGGGGGAAAGGGAACTATGGGGAGAACAGAGGGCATCTAAATTACAATAACATAACTGTACATCACTAAAGCTTCTCTTCATACACACACAGTATTCATCCCTTAATTGCAAGAGCTAATCATCTCATTATCCATCTGTAACAGTAAGGACACATCCCCTTCTCCTTTCTGTTCCCAGCTGCTGAGCCCGTGGCTGGCCAGGAAGTGCTTGCTGAACACTGAGGTTTCACTTCGGTGTGAAACTTTCCCCGTGGATGGAGCACAGAGCTGGGAGTCCTCACTGGGCTCTGGGAGCTTTTCCCAGCTTGGCAGTGAGTGCTGCATCTCAGGGAAGGGATTTCAATGGATCGTTTGGGTCTGAGATTGCAGCCCACGAGCCTCAAGCTTTGGCTGAAATCAGTCAAACTTCAGGCTCTGCAAAGCACAGAAATGTGTTGTCTCCTGGGTTTATCCCCCCTTAGAATCACAGAATCCCAGACTGAGTTGGGCTGGAGGAACCTTAAATCCCACCCCTGCCATGGCAGGGACACCTTCCCCTGTGCCAGGCTGCTCCAGCCCCAGTGTCCAGCCTGGCCTTGGGCACTGTCAGGGATCCAGGGGCAGCCCCAGCTGCTCTGGGAATTCCATCCCAGCCCCTGCCCACCCTGCCAGGGAACAATTCCTCATTGCCCAGATCCCATCCAGCCCTGCCCTCTGGCACTGGCAGCCATTCCCTGGGTGCTGTCCCTGCAGCCCTTGTCCCCAGTCCCTCTCCAGCTCTCCCTGGAGCTTTCTCCTCCCCAGGATGAAAACCTGTGTCTCACACTGTGCCCAGTCCCCTACAAGTTTTCTCCTGCCTTTGGGCCACAAAGCAGCTCTTTGGGACAGGAATTTGTTCTTGCTTGTTCCATAAAAACCCCTGGTAAGGACCACCAGCATTGTCTGAGAACATTCCATTACTTGGGATGTCAAAGGCAGGAACTGTCACTTCTGACATCAAGTGGGTTTGAACAGGTATTTTCACAGCTGTGCACAGATGGAAATAAACTCTGCTAGAGGCTGTCCCTGCATGGAAAGGGTTCTGAAGCAGCTTCTTCGGCTCCTGAGTTGGATTCACGTAATATTTTTCTGACTCATGTCTAAAAAAAAAAGTGATACCAAAATTCACTCACATTTCCACAGGCAAGAGCACAAAGTTTTGTGAGCCCCTTGTTTGAAGGTCCTCAGGAGAGTCAGGAATCAGCACTCACCTGGGGGGGCTGAAAATAGGAATTGGGGTAGAAATAAAGGATCTCCTCTTTCCCTTACCCAGAGAGTCTGGCCAATTGACTCCACCGCCTCCCTGGGCAACTCATTCCAGTGCCTGACCACTCCTAAAAGGGAAAAATTGTTTCTAATCTCCAATCTGAACCTCCCCTGGTGCAATTCAGGGTCATTTCCTCCCACCCTTTCACTTGGGACACGGCAGAAAAGACCGACCCCACCTCACTGCACCCTCCTTTCAAATCATGGAGTGTCCTGGAATGAACCTGGTTTTTTTCCTCTTTGTTGCCCGGCAGCTGCTCCCAATCCCACCTTTTGTTGTGTCTCACTGCTCCAGGTGATTGATCACAAATTGTACGGGAGCCGCTCGGAATTCGACAGCACCATTGACCGAGTCCTGGAGGAATTCTCTGTGGAGTTGATCTGCCTGTCAGGGTTCATGAGAGTTTTGTCCAGCCCTTTTCTCCGAAAATGGAAAGGTAACAAATCAAATGTAAAAGAGAAACTAAAGCAGGGGTGGTTGGTCTCACCAGGATTCCACTGTCAGAGTACCTTGTCCTTTGATTAAATCCCTCAGCCCTGCTGACGCTGCTGACATTCCAGGAAGGAAACCCTGTGCTTCCCTCTGGCAGTGGGAATGTGGGGATTCTGGTGTGGGAATTCTGGATATGGGATTCTGCTTCCCTTCCCTCTGGCAGTAGGGCTGTATTGGGATTCTGCTTCCCTTCCCCTGGCAGTGGGACTGTGGGGATTCTGGTGTGGGAATTCTGGATATGGGATTCTGCTTCCATTCCCTCTGGCAGTGGGACTGTGGAGATTCTGGTGTGGAAATTCTGGATATGGGATTCTGCTTCCATTCCCCTGGCAGTGGGAATTCTGGTGTGGGAATTCTGGATATGGGATTCTGCTTCCCTTCCCTCTGGCAGTAGGGCTGTATTGGGATTCTGCTTCCGAAAATGGAAAGGTAACAAATCAAATGTAAAAAAGAAACTAAAGCAGGGGTGGTTGGTCTTACCAGGATTCCACTGTCAGAGTACCTTGTCCTTTGATTAAATCCCTCAGCCCTGCTGACGCTGCTGACATTCCAGGAAGGAAACCCTGTGCTTCCCCCTGGCAGTGGGACTGTGGGGATTCTGGTGTGGGAATTCTGGATATGGGATTCTGCTTCCCTTCCCTCTGGCAGTAGGGCTGTATTGGGATTCTGCTTCCCTTCCCTCTGGCAGTGGGACTGTGGAGATTCTGGTGTGGGAATTCTGGATATGGGATTCTGCTTCCATTCCCTCTGGCAGTGGGGCTGTGCTGGGATTCTGGCTGAGGATTGCCAGAGGAACCCCTTGTCCTGCCTCAGCAGTGAGAGAGGAGCAAACTGGGGCTGTGGGATGGCTCTGTGCCTTCCCTAGGGAAGGAGCTTGATCCCATCCTTTGCCAGGGAGCTGTGCTGGAGAGTCCTGCAGTTCCCACTCAGGGAAAAATGGGAGAAAGATGGATTTATCCATTCCCAGGAGGGATTTCTCCCTCCTGTGGTGTCCTGCACGCCCTGACACAGCTTGATGTGTGCCCCAAGTGAGTTAATGAAGGGTGAGCAGCGAGTTAGTGCCAGCTCCTGACACCTTGCTCGGGAGTCACTCACTCACTGACAGCCTGGGCAGGCTCCTTTGGGAATGTTGCTGCACCCCTGCTCCTGGAAGAGCAGAATTCCCTCAGAGCAGAGCAGGAATTCCCTCTGAGCACAGCAGTGCTGCTCAGGGTTTGGACTGATGATCTCATCTCATTTTATTTTTAAGGAAATTCAGTTCAAATAATCTTTTTTTTTTTTTTTCCTCTCACACTGATGCCCAGGGAAAATTTTGAATGCTTCTCCATCACTTTTTCCACTCATCAAGGATGGGAATGCCCAGCAAGAGCCCCTGGAAAGTGGGTTCAGAGTCACAGGCTGCACTGTGCATTTTGTCCTGGTGAGTGACCTCAAAACTGGGAAATTAGAAAAATTTGGAAGTTAGGAATTTGCTTTTTTCCTTTCCTTTCTGGGGGCAGAAACAGGCAGAGGTAAGAGGTGTGGGAAGGGGTGGGAACCTTGGGATTGGTACCAGTAAAAATCGGGAAGATTTGGGGTTGCTTGAAGCCCTGTCTTCTTCCCTTGCATTTTGGTGTGGGATTTTCCCATTTCTCCTCCTCCCCGGAGGAGAAGACATCCTTTCTTCCCGCACACCCACACCCCAGCCCCTTCCCCAGCGCTGCCCGGCCCTCCCTCGCTCTGTGCCCGCAGGAGGAGCCGGGCGCCGGCGCCGCGATCCGCCGGGAGCCGCTGCCCGCGGGGCCGGGGGACACGGAGGCAGCGCTGGGCGAGCGGCTGCAGCAGGCCGAGCTCAGGGCCTTCCCCCTGGCCCTGCAGCTCGTGGCCAGCGGGGCCGCCTGGCTGGGAGCCCACGGAAGAACGTGCTGGAGGCGGGAGAGCCGGAGGCTGAGCCCGGACGAGGAGCAGGGAGCAGGAGCGGCCTCTGCCGAGGAGCCCCCGGAACACGAGGGCCTCTGGGCCGATCCTTGAGGGCCTCTGGGCCGATCCTTGAGGGCCTCTGGGCCGATCCTTGAGGGCCTCTGGGCCGATCCTTGAGGGCCTCTGGGCCGATCCTTGAGGGACACTGGGCAGATCCTTGAGGGGATCTGGAGCAGACCCTGAGGTGCTCTGGGCTGGTCCCTGAGGGGCTCTGGGCCAGTCTCTGAGGGAGGCCTCTGGGCCGGTCCTTGAGGGGCTGTGGGCCGATCCTTGAGGGGCTGTGGGTGCGTCCTTGAGGGGCTCTGGACCGATCCCTGAGGAGCTCTGGACCGATCCCTGAGGGGCTCTGGGCAGATCCTTGAGGGGATCTGGAGCAGACCCTGAGGTGCTCTGGGCTGGTCCCTGAGGGGGTCTGGCTCTGCTTGTTTTCCCCCTCCTCTTTCCTTCTCCTCCCTGCGGTTCACTTGGATGTCTCAGTATCTCAAGTTTCTCTTCTCAGTCTTTTTCCTGAGATCACACCTTTGGTTACACCCCCTTGGAAAATCCATGGTGGGAGCCAGGCTGGCTTTTCAGGTTTGGAATTCCTTCGTTCTGTTTTTAAACCTGTAAAGGAGAAAATGTGTTACATGGACAGGGCTGGAGCTGTAAAACTGATCTGGTGTTTCCAAGGGGAATTCATCCTTCCAAGGGATCCATTTCTGTGGCAGAGTATGGGAAGCATCCCAGAGTAACCCCAAACAGGACCTGCAGCTGCAGGACTGGGACAACAAAGTCATGGAGCTGCTGGAGCAAGCCCAGAGGAGCCACGGAGCTGCTCCAGGGCTGGAGCCCGTCTGGAGCCAAGCTGGGAGAGCTGGGGGTGCTCACCTGGAGAGGAGAAGCTCCAGGGAGAGCTCAGAGCCCCTGGCAGGGCCTGAAGGGGCTCCAGGAGAGCTGCAGAGGGACTGGGGACAAGGGATGGAGGGACAGGAGCCAGGGAATGGCTGCCAGTGCCAGAGGGCAGGGCTGGATGGGATCTGGGCAATGAGGAATTGTTCCCTGGCAGGGTGGGCAGGGGCTGGGATGGAATTCCCAGAGCAGCTGGGGCAGTGCCCAAGGCCAGGCTGGACACTGAGGCTGGAGCAGCCTGGCACAGGGGAAGGTGTCCCTGCCATGGCAGGGTGGCACTGGCTGGGCTGTGAGGTCCCTCCAACCCAAACCTTTTTATGACTGTGAAATCCCATTTCACATCAGGCTCACATGGCAAAATACCAGAATCTGGATGAAGGTGCCTGTGATGCAAACGGGTGTTGGATTTGGGACAGCTCTCTCTGTTGGCCTCTCTGGCAGTGATCCAGCTGCTCTGATCAATAATGTGATATTGATTCCCTGCACAGGCAGTGATTTCACCCCTCCAAGTCTTTATTTCCTCTGCCTTCCCTGGCTGTGACCTCCCCACTGACCCATGGCCCCCACACCATGTACAGCCCCTTCCCTCCTCCCCCCTACAGCCCCGGGAAATCAATTCCAAGGAAATATTTGTAGATAGAAATTTTTTTTTTTAAATTCATTAGGCTTTATTTCAAATCCCAAAGGAGAATATGCCAACATGGGAGTACCGTCAGGACATCAGAACCCAGAATAAAATCAGTTTTCTCTGTGTTCAAGGGGAGCTCCAAACCACCCCATCTGCTCTGTGTGTGGGAAACCTGATCCTTTCAGTAAGAACATTAAAATGGTTTCATAACTATATGAAAATATTAAAAGAAAACCACAAGTGTTGAGCTGCACAAAAACCCCAATTGTTTTCCAAATGTTCATAATTCCTGGGTGTCCCTCGGTGTTATTCCAGGTGAAAACACTGGTTCAAGAATAAAGGCACTTCAGAATTCCTGAGGAATGTTTCACAAGCCAAGGACATGTTTGTGTCTGGTCTTTCTACTCATGTAAAATAATAAAACCCTGAATCTGAGAGGAATTCACACGGGACTTCTGTGGAAAAAAGGGGCAGCAGACACTGAATCCTGCTGGCCTCTGATGGACAGCAGGTTCAGGTTTGGAAATGACAGGGTGTGTCAGGGGTCTGGGCCAGATGAGATCCACCACTATCAAACCAGGAAGAAAATGGAGAAAAAAATCCAATAATTTTGGTGTTTGGGGAGGCCAGTTTTTCCTGGTTTGATGAGGTTTTTCAGAGTGGAACTTTCTGCTTTTGTCTGTCTCTTCCACTGCAGTTTCCCTCAGCAACACTTCCCAGCACAAGGAGGGTCCCTGTTAGGGAGCAGCCCTGATGGCTGGCAAACAGCTGGATATTCACCAGCACTTCCACATATTCCCCACCTGGAAAAAGTGGAACTTAATCCCTCTGCTGGAGACAGGCCACGTGAAAAAGGCTTGTTCACTTCCCAGCTGCCAGACTGATTGTGATTTTGTACGAAAGGGTCTCCAGCGTTGTCTCCAGTCCACCCCAGATCCACCTGGCTGCATTGGGCTTGTCAGGAAAGCGACCGAGAGAACCAAAACGTTGGCCAAGGAAGCGGTTAAAATTCGGAAGCACTTACAGGAGCCATTGCTGCACCCTCTGGGAACGACCCCGAAATTCCCATGGGTGGCTTTCCTGGGATTTGAACCTTGAGCCGCGTGAGGGGCAGAGCCCGCGGCAGGCCCTGCCGGAGCCCGGCTCTATTTCCAGTAGATCTTGCCCGCCTCGCCCACGCGCACGGCGCCGCTGGCCACGAGCTGCAGCGCGGCGGGGAAGGCGCGGTGCTCGGCCTCCTTCACCCGCTCGGCCAGCGTGGCCTCCGTGTCCCCCAGCTTCACCGGCACGGCCTCCTGGAAGATGATGGCCCCGGCGTCCACCTCCTCCTGCAAGGGCAACGGCAAGGTCAAGGCTGGAGCAGGAGGGAAGGCTCGGGATGCCCCAGGGCCTCGGGGAACTGGGATTTGGGGTGGGGAGAGCAGGTGGTGAGGCTGACTGTGGTATGGGAAGGGTTCAGAGGAGAGAGGGAGGGAGGCAGAACAGCAGGGAGCAACAATTCTATTCTAGAAAAGCCCATTAGCCAGGGACAGGAGGGGCTGGGCTGGGCAGGACATTCAGCCCAGAGGGGGAATGAGCCAAGGGCTGCATGGAGCTGGGATAGGGATCCAGCAGATCTTCCCTGGAACATTGTGGGGCAGATCCCACAATGGGTTTCTTCCTCAGCAGCTGCCACACAGAAACCCCAAGCCGTGGCATAGAGAAGAATGCAGTTTTCCCTTCTACTGGAAAAAATTATTCCATCCTCTTTTTCCAAGGGAAAGCAAAAATCCTGAGACAGATTCCAGCAGCAGAGGGAGAGGGGAGCTAAAGGAGAGACTTCTGAACCCTGAGAAGTGACCAAAAGGGAACCAATAATCCTTGGCCTGAAAAAAGGTGGCTCTGAAGCTGACAGATCTCTGCTCTTTCTTTACTTAGGGTCTGACCAGCATAAATTGTCAAATTTTGCTCTGTTCTCACAAACATCTGATCACTCCTTAACAAGTCCTGTGCCATTTCCAGTGGGGTTTTTGTTTGTTTGTTTCTATTTTTTTCTTTTTCTTGAAAGCAAGAAACAAGGCGGGTTTAGGACAAAACCCAGGAAGTTGGGGCCATGTTTAACAAAGCCTTTGGCTTAGCCAAGGCCTTACATTAACTATTCCCCCACTCCAGTGAGTGGAAGGCAGCAGTGGGATGCTTAGGGAAGAAGCTCCCTTAGGGAAAGCTTAAACTCCTGGACAAATTACCCATTTCCATTCCTTCTCCAGAGCCAGCAAACTACAGCACTGTATGGCCACAATAAAATCCCCACCTTCTCTACATATGAAGGTCTGAACACAGAGGGCAGGTAGTCAAACACAAGGGTGTAGGGTGCTCCCAGCAGGCTCTGAGGTGAGAATGTTCAAAGGGGAGGAGTGCAGAGGGGCAGGGAGGTGCAGATGTTCAAAGGGGAGGATTTCAGAAAACCAGGAGGTGCAGATGTTCAAAGAGGAGGATTGTAGAGGGGCAGGGAGGTGCAGATGTTCAAAGTGAAGGATTTCAGAAAACCAGGGAGGTGCAGATGTTCAAAGGGAAGGATTGCAGAGAGCCAGGGAGGTGCCGATGTTCAAACAGGAGGATTGCAGAGGGGCAGGGAGGTGCAGATGTTCAAAGGGGAGGATTGCAGGGGGGCAGGAGGGGCAGGTGTTCAAAGGGGAGGAGTGCAGAAAGCCAGGGAGGTGCAGATGTTCAAAGGGAAGGATTGCAGAGAGCCAGGGAGGTGCAGATGTTCAAACAGGAGGATTGAAGAGGGGCAGGGAGGTGCAGGTGTTCAAAGTGAAGGATTTCAGAAAACCAGGAGGTGCAGATGTTCAAAGGGGAGGAATTCAGAAAACCAGGGAGGTGCAGGTGTTCAAAGTGAAGGATTTCAGAAAACCAGGAGGTGCAGGTGTTCAAAGGGAAGGACTGCAGGGGGGCAGGAGGGGCAGGGGGTACTCACAGCCACGAAGTGCACGGTGCAGCCCGTGACCCTGACCCCGGCCTGCAGCACCAGCTTGTGCGCGTGCGCTCCCTTGAAGGACGGCAGCAGGGACGGGTGGATGTTCAGGATTTTCCCTGGGAAAGCAGAGCTGAGGTTATTGACTTTTAGCACTTTTAGGCTGCTCAAAGGGCCATAACCAACAGAGGAATAAAATCATTTGTGAATAGGATTTTTCACAAGTTTTGAAGACGCCGGCAGCCAGCCAGCCCCAAGTGCTGCAGTTTCTGTGTCTGAAATAGCAGAGTGCAGTTACAATTAATGGCTGAAACCATTTCCCCAGGGATTAATAATGACTAATTGGCTGATGTAGCTGTCCCTTCCCTCAGCATCTTGTCCTTCTTTGATCACAAAACCCCTGGGGCTGGCACAGCCCTCCCAGCCCAGGCAGTGCCAGCTGTGCCCCATGGCCACCTTGTCCCCAGCCCAGAGCACTCAGTGCCACCCCCAGGGGACACCTGCAGGGATGGGCACTGCAAAGCTCCCTGGGCAGCCCCTGCCAAGGCCTGAGCACCCTTGCCATGGGCAAATTCCTGCTGC